CTTGCCCAGACTTTTCCTCTGTGTGTTTAGGCTGATTTCTGTTGGTGTGAGGAAATAAATAGATTTCCAAACACCATCTTAAATCCAGCCAGTTTCTGGAATGATTCAAGTAGTTCTTTTAGTTCTACTGGATTTTCTAAGAGAGCAGCTCTATCTTGTAACAGCAATATTTTGTCTCCTTTTTATTTGTACTTTATTGCCTTGATCAAACCATGTATAATTAATAATGGTGATATGGCATCTTTCTCTCACTGCTGGCTTTTCTTTTAATTTTTTTTTTTTTTGCGTAGAAGAACTGGGGTGTAGGCCAGAGATGCAGGGGTTTTGGGGCACAGTGAGAGGATTCACCAGAAACAGAGTGGGGAGCAGAACAAGCAGAAATACACCGCTGAGGGGAGCAGTGGGCTGCACCGTATGTGGGTTAGCTCCCTGGCCTGTATTGAATTCACAAACTCAGGCCACAGAAATTATAGTGCTGAGACTTAATCCCTAGGCCACACGGGAGCCCCCTCATTCCTGTCTTAATAAATAATGCCTGTCTCCTTTCTCCTGTACGCATGTGTGAACTATTTAAGATAAAATAATTATCTTGTTAAGGAAATGTTCGTTTCTATGTCTTAAGAGTTTTGTATTTCTGCTTCTTAGAGACTATTGAATTTCATTATTTAATACTTTCAACATTTATTGAAATTATAAGGTCTTTAATTTTTGTTTCTTTGTTCATATGACAGACATGATAGCTGTTTTTCTGGAATTCCACTTGAAAATGAATAGTTAACCAACAATTTTTTTATTTTCAAATTAGTGAATAAAAGATGGATGATGCAATAAAGAACATTAGGAATTTTGGGTCTGGGAGGGGAAATTTTAAGTTTGAATCTTTCCTAGCAACACATAAAAGTTCTAAATGGAATAAATTATACCTTTTTTAAAAATCTGAAAACTATTTGGAGAAAATATTGGAAAATATTTTTATAGTCTTGATGTGAGGGATCACAAGCAGGTTATAAAATCTAGAAGCCATAAAAGAAAATATTGAAATATTTTGCAACCAAAATACCTGAAACTACTACGTGATGGAAGACAGCATAAGGAAAGTTAAAGACGACAGAAGAAAATGAAGTAAAATATTGACAGCATATAGAACAGCATCAGATTACTCATCAGAAAATAAAAAGAGGGGAAATAGAAAAAGTAGTTGACTAGGGAATTTAAGACCAACTTCACTCATAGTAAATAGCATGTAAAAAAAAAATAACAACAACCCAATACAGAGTAATATCTGTCATCATCAAATTGTCCAAAATTTTATTTTTTTTTTTTAAAGAAATCATTGTTTTTCTTTTCCCTATTCTTTTTTTTTTTTTTTTTTTAAGATTTATTTATTTATTTATACAAGCACTGGGTACAGTCAGAAGCATGGGAGGGTGAGAGAATTCACCAGAGATAGAGCGGGGAACAGAACAGGCAGAGTGACGAAATACACTGCTGAGGGGAGCAGCGGGTGAGGCAGGGGAGGTCTGTCACACCATGTGGGACCCTCACCAGCGGCTGGGGATCGAACCGGCGCTGCAGAGGCTGCAGGCAGCTTTGCAGTCCAGCGCTCAACCACTGCGCCACCAGGGGAGGCCTGTCCAAAATTTTAAAGACAAATATCCAGTGTTGGAGAATGTACATATAAGCTAGATAGATCTATAAGCTAGATAGGTCACTTCACTCTAAAAGTGTTTCATGGAGATGATGCAGCCTAACTCCAACACAGCCTCCAGGGTAGATGGGTGCCCCCTGGAGCTCTCCTCTCAGTGCCTGGCCCCTCCTATGGGTTCAGTGAGCAGTTTTTTTGGTCACATCCAATAAAATGTAAAAGGTCCTCTGACTCAATGATTTCTTTTCCAAGAATGTAGCCTTGTAGAAATACATAAGTATGTAACATGTATGTGAAGATACATGCAGAAGAATGTTCACTGAGGCATGTTTTATAGGAGGAGGGGAGGCTGGAGGCCAGGGAGCAAACAAACTCCTGATTGTACATGAATCCCCTACGATCTGCTGGATAAATGATGGTGCATCCACTCGTGGGCTATTTTGCAGCTCTTCCAAGGAATGGAATGGATTTATGTGCGCTGACATAGAATGATATTCAAGAATTGATGTTATGACTAAGATGAATATGAATGTGAAAGCAAATCCTAAAAATATCTGTTATTCAATCCCGAGTATATTTGCTTGTGTCTGAATGTATATTAGATCAATAGAGAATGTATAGACAAGGAGCTGGAAGCCCCTCAGCTGAGGGGACTCAATTGGAATCACTGGGCTTGAGGAGCTAGTGACAGGAGGAGTTTCATGTTTTGTTCTATGACCTTTAACACTTAGTGACTCCACTACAAGACAGTATTGTATTAGTTGTTTGTTTGTTTGTTTGTTGTTGTTGTTTTTTAATTGAAAATTCAAAGTGTTAGGTATTAGGTAGCCCACTCATTTTGAGCTGCGTGAATCCCTGTGGGTTTGGCAGTTCCTTGACAACTTCCCACCTGGCAACACTACTAAGGAATGTATGAGAAATTCTTGGCATTTTCCTGAAATAAATCCTGCTACGGAGCCAGCTCATCTGGCCATCCTAATCTGCAGGAAGACTTTAAAAAAAGTTAAATCCAAGTCTCTATCCAAGATCTGATGACTCAGAACTGAATTGTTGTGCCTGATGCTATTATTATCTTGCTCAGAAGGAGGGAGTAGAAATGAACCTGGAGCTGCAGGGGCACTAATGAACCCTAATGGAGACCTTGATAGATCAAGACATCCTTTCTAAAGGGACTGGAGAGAAGTGCGCTCCCCTAACCGCCAAAAGGGGCAGCTAACGCTCAGCAGCACAGATGTTAGTGATGTGGTTTTGTAAAGTGTGGGGTCCTTGGGTTCACTCTGGGAAAGGTTTCACCAGAGCTCCCCTTTCAGCAGCATGCGGCGAGTGCCCAGGCAAGTTTCTCCATGAGGCAGAGACGTTAGTCATATTTAAAGAACAGGTTTATTAGGGAATGGGAAAGGGACAGGTTTTGCTAAGAGAGGCCTGCATGGTTGCAGGCGGGCGGCCTTGAGGAGAGCAGCCTCTGCTGAGGGAGGTCAGTGAAAAGATGCGCCTGCATAGTCACATGTGGGCAGTGGGAGTGCTGCCCCGAGCCTGTGCAGAGACTGCATTGATATAGTCCTTTTCTCTTTGGGAGCTGTCATTCCTCTGTGGAGTGGCCTGCTTATTGCTGATGTTGGGTAACAGGCAAAATTAGAAAGGGGCCAGAGATTCCAGGGTGGTCCCAATCTCCATATCTTTCCCCTCAGGCCTGTGCTCCACTCCCTATAGAAGTCTGATCCTGCTTAGGTCTCCTGCTTTGTGATAAGGCACTGGTGCCTAAGGATCACAACCTCTACAGCTGGGTTAATGGTCATGTTATTCCCCAGACCCCCACCTCCTTGCATGAGTCAGGCTTTAGTCTTGTGAGGCCTCCTCTTCAGTTTTTCTATTCTTGTCCTCCATCATTAGGGTTGCAGTTTTTGTTTTTGTTTTTCACTAAAACAGCTTTTTTTTTTTCCTTTTTGGATGTGTGTGTGTCCTGTGGGTGAGGGTTTGGCCATTGTATTCTAAGCTGGAGGGCGGTGAGATGATTTCAAGTTCATTGGAAAACCACCCAGCTCTTACTCTGGGCTTGCTTAGAATGGAAAAAGATAACCAGGCACTCAGAGACACAGTTTAAATTCTAAGGGACACGGTTTATAGTCTAAGGATTGTGCTGCAGAGGCAGCAGCATTGGATTCAATTCCTGATGCTGCATTATCCCAGCTGTGTGACTATCTGCAAGGTTCTTGACTTCTCTGAGCCTCAATTTCTTGATTTGCACAATGGATATATGATGCACCCCTCCTGGCAATGCAGAGCAGATCAAAGAGGTGGTATATGTAGAAGTAAGTCAAGCAACACTTAGGTACTTTTTATTAATATTTTGGTGGTTTCTAGAGGGTGAACTCCCCGAAGACAGAGTATGTGAAAATGTGAATTATTTTCTTTCAAATCCTCCACCAGTCTACTTAAGACTATCTAGTATTATCTGGTACACTATGTAGTATTCAGCTAAAGTATTTGCTGGATACGTATTCTGATTCTATTAGGTCTCTGTGCCTTTCTTGGCCTGTAAATTATAGAGATCAATGTAAAATAATTCTTGTCTCTAGATATGCAAATTCTGCCTTTTATAGGTTCAACTACTCTCCTCCGCCCCTATGTGGAAGAAGCCAGTTTTCCCTCCAATTATATTCGTGCCAATATCCCAGATCTGCGTTTGTTTTTTGGACTGGTCGTAAGCTCTTACGGGTCCCCTCGTTAATAATGAGTAAAATAAACTTTTCAACACATGCTCATTATATATCCGTGTGAAAAGTTTCTTGCAACATGACTGTTATTCCTTCACCAGACCAGAAAGTTTCTAGAGAAGGCGGACACCACATTGCAATCTCCCTCTCAGGGCCAAACACTGTTGATGTAATTAGACTTAACTACTTATTCATAGACGGAGAACAGTTTCCAAATTCCGTGCCCGGAGAGGTTCGGGTCCTGCGTCACAACTGTGGGTGACACGGAGGTCTGCTCTTTGCGCCAAGCTTCAGCCTGCGCATCTGTGAAATGGGCTCATAAAGAATCCCGCCCCCTCCCCGGCCCTGGTGGCCGCCTGCAGCTTGTGCCCTCGGCCTCTCCCACCCTTTCTGTGGGCCCCCGGAAGCCTGGGGGGGCGGGGGACGACTCAGAGCGCGGCCCCTCCGCTGGCCCGCGGGGTCTCTGGGCTGGGCGCTCCCCTGGGGGTGTGGAGGCGCCTCTGGTTCGTTCGAGCCAGAAAGCCCGGAGCCGCCCAGGAATTTTGGCTCTCACTGCGAGCATTTCCTCCGGGCGGGCCGGCGCGATCCCGGGGAGGGAGGCCAGGGGCAGACGCCGCGTTGCGCTCGCCCGGGCCGGCACCATGCGGCCCCTGCTGTGCGCGCTGGCCGGGCTCGCCGTGCTCCGCGCTGCGGGCGCCTTTGCGGGTGAGTGGGGTTCCGGGCTCGGGGCGCGCCGGGCCTAAGCCCCGGGAGGGTGATGTGGGAATGTTCTAGTGTTGGAGGGAGAGGGCTAGAGGGAGGGAGAGAGAGGTGGAGAGAAAGGGAGATGCAGGGAGGGAGACAGAAAGATGGTGAGAGAAAATAGGACGGAAAAAGAGCAAAGAAATAAAGGCAGAGGGGTCCGGAGGATTAGAGAGGAGAGAGAGAAAGAGAGAGAGAGAGAGAGAGTAAAAAGAGAAGGGGAGAGAGACAGAAAGACTGGTGATAACCCGACGGGTATGAACTGTGAGTGAGGGGTAGAAAGGAGTTTGAAAGACAAACGAGAGAAGAGGGGAGAGAGAATGACTATGAATGGATACAAGTATCCTAGGAAGGTCAGGTCTGCAGGGTCGGGGCACACCCCACCCACCCCACCCACCCCACCCCGAGCCTGGGTCTCTCCAGATGACCGAATGCATACCAGTCCAGCCTGGTTTACAGGGCATTGCTCCAAAAGCCCAGCAGTCAGTCAGGGTCAGGTAGGCGGGCTCCAGGAGAAAGGCCACTGCTTCCCACTTAGTGGCCGGAGGGAGGTGTTCTGTAATTAGTGAGGAGGTCAGTCTCAGGGCATCCAGTGAACTTTCTTGAGGGCCTGGGCTGCCTTGGGTGAGTGAGGGGCAGGGTGCTCCATACCTTGCACCATCCCCATTACCTCCCTTGACAGCAGTCTTAGTTCTGTTCCCTCCCAGCTGAGGCTCATTGTGACTCCTGTGGAGGATTTACTGGATTGCCGATGTACCTACTGTACATGCACACAGGGTGTTCATACATCACCCCAGGCTCTGCACATTGCGCAGCACTTTTCAGCTCACAGCCGCTGTCCCATATCCCCGTCATCTCATGCAGGTCTGGCCAGAGAGCAGCTCATGCTTGTCCCAGCTGTGCAGGTGAGGGAGAGGCTCAGGGCTTGCATCTGTGCCAGGGCAGAGCCCTCACCAAGGGTCCAGACCTTCTGCCCCTTTGGCCTTTGCTTCCATGCCAAGCGGGTCCCTGTTCACCTGGAACAGTGGATACTGAGTCACCCAGGCAAAGTGCCCTGCATTTAGATGGAAGCCCTTGCCCCAGTCCATTTCAGGGAGTGTGCCTGTGGAAGGAAAGGATCCAGGCCTGTGCTCATCTTGGGTAGCTTTTTGTTTCATCTTTCTGAGGCTGTTTCCTCTTCTGTAATGGGGGAGAATGAGCCCTACCCTGCAGAGCTGGCTGCTGGAATTGGATGGGAAGGTCCTGCAGGGAACAGGCATCCACATCACTTCTGCTCCTCTGAGAGCACCATTGCTCTCTCTGAGCCTCAGCTTCTCCATCTGTGGAAGAGCTTCAACTATGGCTTCTTCAGTGGCTGAGTACTGAATGGCAGGGACACTGCCCAGCATAAAGCCCAGCCCCCAAATGCAAGGCCTTCCTTTTCCCTGCCCCCACCTCCCCGCCAAGTATCCACCTCCAGGAGTTGAGAGGACAAAGCCAAGTCTGTGCTCCCCTAGAGGGAGGAGCCACCCACAAAAGGCTGACTTTTTGTGTCCCTTTAGCTATGACTGGTATATACACTTTAGTTTCAAACTTATTGAACATTGCTTTCTTTCCAGCTTGTTTATTGCTACACATTAAGAAAAAAAGAAAAGTATAAACATCTTAATGTCAATTCACATGGAGCTCATCCATTTTAGTATATATCAGACATCAGACAATATATACCATTGTTCTTTTTTTAAGTGTTATTAAAATGTATTCTTTCCATTGCTTTTATTCAATTGAATTTATCATTTTAAACATATTCGCTGGTCAACAACCATTGTTTTTCTTGACTTGATTTTGAGATCTTTTGGTTTCAAAATCGGAGTAGTACGAGGAGCCCTCAGGTGCCTACCACCCTGTTTCAGCAAGGATCTATCTTGCTTAGTCTTGTTTCGTCTATCATGCCTACCTTCTCCCCCCTTCCTGGATTATTTTGAAGGAAATTCTGAGAGTTACATTTTTTCAGCTATAATTATTTTCAGTGTATTTCTAAAAGACAAATACCCTTGTGAAACATAACTGGAATATCATATCACACTCTAAAATGGACAGAAATTCCTTAACATTATCCAACCACCAGTCCTTCAAATGTCCCTAATCATGTCATGTTTTTATATCTGGTTTGTGGGATCCAAATGCAGTATATCCATGGCTTTTGGTTGATAATGCCTATTAAATTTCTTTTAATAGGTATGTTCTCTTTTCCCTTTATTCTTAAAAGTTATTTGCTGAAGGAACAGTGTTTGTCCTGTAAAGGCTGCCCTGTTTATATTTCAGTTGACTGCAACCCCCAGGTGTCAGTGTTCCTCCTGAATAGTGAGATCCAGAGGCCTGATCTCATTTCAGCTAGACCTTATTTTCTTTTTGCCAGATTAGTTTAAGGTGGTTTTTATTGTTTTTTTTTGTTTTTGTTTTTGTTTTTTTTGCATTTCTCTGATTCCTATGAGACTGGACTTTCCTTCAAATTCATATTGGTAATTTTTACTAATTCTTGTGAATTGTCTTAGACTTTTCCTTATAGTATTAGGATTTTTCATATTCATATGTAAATGTTCTTTATATATTAAATGAGGCAAAGTTGTGTTACTTGTAAAGACTTTTTAAAAAATTAGGCTCCAGCTGAGTTCTAGTCCTGGAGTCCAGGACTAGAAGTTCTAGTTCTAGTTCTAGTTCTAGTTCTAGTTCTAGTTCTGGTGCCCTGGAGTCCAGTCCTTTTGCCTTGGGCTCTGGATGCTTTGAGGTAGTTCTCACTGGCACTGCTGCTCCCAGGCCCCTGGGACATCTGCTGGAGGTTGGGATTCTGCTTTTGCCTTGGGTGAAAGAGGAAGATGCTGAAGGTCTGTGTTGTGGATTGTGGTATTTTTTCTTACAAATATGGATCTTGGTGAGGAGTGAACCACTCAAAGACAATTTGATCCAAGGTATATGTTTGGGGTCTGGTGGGGCATCAAGACAACTGCAAAGGAGTCATGTGTACAGGTCCCCTTTAAGCCATATATGTTCAACCCCTCATTTCATGGAAGAGGTGGTTGAGATCCCAAGATGGGAGGCCCTTAACATATGTGTCACACCACTACCAGGGTACCACAGACGGTCAAGCAGATTGGATTCAGATCCTGTCCCACCACCTCCAAGCTGGGTTATCTTGGGATCTTTGGTCTTCTAATCTTGGACATGCTGTCAATCTTTCTGAACTTTGGTTTTCTAATCTGCAAAGAAGATAGGTAAGCGTGCTGAGTTCACAGATAGAATACTACGTGAGATAATGCATGTGGGCACTCAACTAAAGGCTTGGCATGTGATAAGTAATGACTAATCAATAGTAGTGTCAAAAAAAGTGTATGATTATGCCCCATCTAGAGGTGAAGAAACCAAGGATTCAAGAAGGAATTGGCTCCTTACAGAGAGAACAGAGAGCCAGTCTGAGCCCTTGAAAACCCTGTCCCAAGCATCCCTTGGATCCCTGCACAGTTTTAACACCAGAGCAGATGCCACCCCATCTTGAGGAGACCCAGTGGGTTGGAGCTTTATGTGAAGGAGCGCTGGCCTGCAGGTAGAGAGACAGAAACCTGGGTAGCTCTCACTGCCTGGGTCAGCCTTCAGCCCTCCTGGTAAGTGCCCTCTGTGCATTTGCACATCCCTTGGCAGTTTCCAGGCATCCTCAAGTGGAGGACCCCTTTGATTATATATGGCAGTCCCACAAAGTGGATAGGGCAGGGCAAATCCATTCCTTACTGGTGAGGAAGGCAAAAAGCACAGTCAGTAAGCTGTGGAGATGGGCCTCCAAGCCTGTATTCTTATCACGGCATGTGGACAGAGGTTTATCCTGGATGACATTTTAGACTTTTAGTATTATAGGGATTTAGGATGTTCTAGTACATTATAACTCAGTGGATTAAAAACCAAAGCAGGATTCCATGATAGGAGTCTGGATTTCTGTATGAACTCAGGGAACAGAGCTGTCTGACCACATCCAGTCCACCTTGAACTGATATACAGGAAAGAAAGAAACAGGTATGAAATTGATGGGGCTCTTTGTTTCAAGGCCTAGCTTATATCCTAATTTAACTAGCTATTGAATGTATTAGGGTGACATTGGTAAACCTTCCAAGTGATCAGCAAGACCTAAATCTACATTGAAAATGACCAGAGACCAAGGGGTCAGCACATGTCTCTCCCCAAATAGAATAAGACAGTTTCAGAATCTGTGCTCTTCCTTGGGGGTCTTCCAAGCCCCTCTTCTGTTTCAGCCAGAACAATTCCACAGATTGGAATTATTCATATGATTTTTTTAAAATAGTGTTCTGCTTTAAAAAATTCAAAACCATTGAATTTTAGTACAACTTTAATACAAATATTGAATGTAGTAAAATTTATTATTCTGTTGTATTGAATGTGGTTAAATACAATTAACCCTCAAGTGACAAGTGTTGCTGGTCAAAGCAGAGTTTGTCTTGATGATTCAGAAGGCACCACTGCTCCTTTCAAGGCCACCAATGAGAAAATGTCGTTACCTAGCATGACAGAAATCAGCTGAGATGCGGCACTTTCGGTTCCAGATACAAAAAATCTGCCTGTAAATGGGCAAAGGGCCATAGTTGCTGACCCAGGGCAGGAGACCATTGGCCATGTCTCTTTAACTGGAGCAATTAGCCCAATGTCTTCACCTGAGCCTCCGGCCTCCACCAGCAGCCTGTTCTGATCAAAGCAGGCGGTTCCACCCATGGCCACTGTCCAAGGTGCACAAAGCCTGAGCAGGAGCCAGGCCAGGGAAAACAGCACTGCATCCAAAAAGACCCACTTCCCAACTGGCTGGGGCAAGGGAGGCAGGAGCAAAGGAAGGAAAGGACACTAGCAGTGGAACCACTGTCCTGGCTGTTCAAAATCCATCATGACCATCCATCAGCCTTCCAATTCCTCCTCTTGCTTGAACATCCCAAAATCCCAGTGAAGCAGGTTTTACCATGGTCCTTTCTGCAGGTGAGGAAGTCAAGACTTCAAGAGTTGTGTGTGTGCATACATATATGTATGTGCATGCATGAACGCGTGTGTGCATGAATGCATACATGCATGCATACAAGGACCCAAAGAAATGGGAGTCACCCAGGTCTTGCCTTCCTAGAGCTTCTTGTCCAAGGAGCAACTTGTCCTTGACTCATCCTTGTTCTGTCCTTGAAGCTAATTTTTAAGGCCTCTTAGCAGGCTCTGAAAGAGCAGAATTCTGTATGAGCCATCTCTGACCTCAGACCTGCCCACCCAGTGTTACAGAGGAGGCCACAGAGGCTCATGGAGGAGAACATGTCCCTCAGGCCCACCCCATGCATGACTGACCTTGGTTAAGAACAGAGTCTTCAGTGCGTTTGCTGCCATCCTATGTTGAGATCTGTGGGGAGGGGGCACGTGGTGGAGGGTACTTGTGAGGTCCTAGTCCCGGCTCCACCTCCAGCTCTCTCTCTCAGATGAGCTCTTTGGGAGGCCAGGGTGAGCTCATGGACTGCTATGCAGTCACCCCAGGGCACAGTTCCCTCCAGATGTGAGGGATTAGTGCTGTGTGATACAGAGAGCAACCTCAGCCCAGCCTTTTCCCTGGAGGCATTTTGGAGCCAAGTTAGACCTCATCGCAGACATGCAGAGAACAGGATGTTTTAGGCCAATGGAAGGGAGTGGACTCATGTCATCTGTGACTTAGACCTGGCAGACCCCATTTAGCTGGCAGGGTGACGTTGCTTCCTCCTGCCTCAAGTCCCAGGGACATCTAGCGGGAGAGTGGTTCAGGTTCCAGAAGAGGGCTGGTGAAGCAGGGGAAAGACTTGGCCAGAGACTCCCAGGGAGAGCTGGTAGAGAATGAGGACATGTACCCTTATTCCGACTCCAAATTCCCAGGAGGCCCTTGCTGTGTGTGAATAGCTCTTCCTGCTCTCTTGACTTCTTCCTCTCCAGACTGAGCATCCAATTCTTCAGCTGAGATGAATGGGTCCAATGTGAGCCCCTGCCCCACGGACCCCTGTAGCCCTGCTCCTGCCTGTCAGACGGCCTTTCACCAAGTGGGACTCAGAATGGAGCACAGCCTGACAGGAGAGGGGCTCATAGACCACCCCTCACCCTGACCATTTTACAGCCCTGCATACAGCCCATAACGGCTTCTGCTTTTTGCTAACAGGTCCCTCAGATAACTGGCTCTTATTTTATTTTATTTTTTTAATTAATTAATTTATTTATACAAGCACTGGGTACAGTCAGGAGCGCGGGAGGGTGAGAGAATTCACCAGAGCCAGAGTGGGGAGCAGAGCAGGCAGAAGGACCGAAGTACACTGCTGAGGGGAGCAGCGGGCAGCAGGAGAGGTCTGAGCGCCATGTGGGACCCTCGCCGGCAGCCGGGGATCGAACCGGCGCTGCAGAGGCTGGGGGCAGCTTCGCAGCCCAGTGCTCAACCGCTACACCACCAGGGGAGGCCCTAACTGGCTCTTATTATGGGAGATTTCAAACCATATATCCACATACACCGAAGTAAAAGAATAGTGGACTCGACCCTCATGGCCCCATCACCCAGTTTCAATAATTACCAGCCTTGGCCAATCTTGTTTGCTCTCTATTCTCACCCATTCCTCTTCCTCCCCAACCTGGAAAATTTGGAATTAAATCCAAGATATCAAAGCATTTCATCTGTATTTTCATATAAATCTCCAAAAGTATCCCTTTAACATTTTTTTAAAAATTAAAAAAACCAAAAACACTGACTTTTGAAGAGACTTTGCTAATTTCAGTGGACAGAGATAAAGGAGAATGACAAAAAAACAAACTATTCTCCACAATAGATGCTTATAGGAGAAGGAAACTTTGTCCCTGCTCTCCATTCTCACCCCTGGGATCGAGATAGACTCTCCACCAGAGCTCTCAGGGCAGAAGCGTGCTGGCAGAATGCCAGAAGGCCAGCTTGCTGAGGTGAGGTGAGATGGCCAGGATGCAGGGAGTTCAGTCCTTTGCTGACTCAACCTACCAGTTACACTCTCATTGACAGCGAATGACTCATCATCTTTGTCCTTACCTAAGACCTACCAACATTCGGGGCAACTCTTGTCTTCAGGCCATGCTGACCACTTCATCTTTTAGTAAGGTCCTTTGCTTCTCTCTGTATTCAGGTCACAGCCTCCTTTGAGTGTCAGCATTCTCCAAGTTTGCAGCCAACTCTGATGCCCCACAGGCATCTTGGAGCCAGCTCTGAAAGCTGATCTCAGAACCAGGGCTTTAGGTCTTCTGGTGTAAATGTTGGTGGGGTTAGGAAGCAGTGTGAGCTGAACAATGCTGAACAGGTTGAGTCCCCGATCTGCTTACCAGCTCTGTGACTTTGGACATGACATTTCCTCCCTCTGTGATCAATCTCCTTTGGTGTAAATTGAGGATAGTAATTAGATTGACTGAGTAACACGTTTGCTGAAGATACTACGTGTATGTGACAAGCCCTCATCAGATGTTGGATATCACTAACAGGTCACGAGTGTCAGTGCTACTCCTGAATATCTCCATCATTTTCTTCCTTTCTCTTTCTACTTATGCCTGCTTTCATCAGCTCTTCTTCCTTCTTTCCTAGATTAATGCAGTAAACTTGTGCTTTCAAAGACAAATCCCTCTAGTCCATTCTGTGTTAAAAAATTCACCTATGGGGCCTCCCCGGTGGCGCAGCGGTTGAACACTGGGCTGTGAAGCTGCCCACAGCCTCTGCAACGCCAGTTCAATCCCCGGCCGCCGGCGAGGGTCCCACATGGCGCCACAGACCTCTCCTGCTGCCCGCTGTTCCCCTCAGCAGTGTATTTCATCAGTCTGTCTGTTCTGCTCTCCCGCTCTGTCTCTGGTGAATTCTCCCACCCTCCCGTGCTTCTGACTGTACCCAGTGCTTGTATAAATAAATAAATAAATCTTTTAAAAAAAAAAAACCCTAACCCTAATCCCTTTAAAAAAAAAATTCACCTATCAGGCCTCCCCGGTGGCACAGCGGTTGAGCGCTGGGTTGCAAAGTTGCCTGCAGCCTCTGCAGCACCGGTTCGATCCCCGGCTGCTCCCGGCCACCAGAGGAGGGTCCCACATGGTGCGCAGACCTCTCCTGCCGCCCGCTGCTCCCCTCAGCAGTGTACTTCGGTCCTTCTGCCTGCTCTGCTCCCCGCTCTGGCTCTGGTGAATTCTCTCACCCTCCCGCGCTTCTGACTGTACCCAGTGCATGTATAAACAAAACAAACAAACAAATAAATAAAACATGCCTCTCTATATATATAAAAAAAAGGCTTAAAAAAAATTCACCTATGACTGTAACTCTTCTGTGAATCACTGTGACACATATGATGATGTGTCATTCTGTTGACATATATGACACTCTTTTATTAAAATAAAATCCAAAAACAAGTATCAGGATTGGTTTAGCAGGGCCTCTGGGATGCAATTCTATCCTCAGGGCTTCCTGTCCATGCACCACCTCTGCAGACTCATCTCCTACCCACTCTGTACTTTCCAGATGCTCTAAACTCTCTGGGTGGTTGATGGTCCATTGAGCCACACTATTCTCTGCCTGGCTAAAACCTTTCCTCCCTACACAGTTCTGGCAGCACCTCCTTGAGAAGCTCACCTGGGGCTAGAGGTGACTGTAGCCACAGAGGCAAGTGAGTGGGGCTGCCCCACACTCCTATCCTGACCACAGGTTCTCTTTGTGACTGTTTTTAGGAACCAGCTCACTCGAAGCCCATGCCTTCCAGCAGTCTCTAGTATTGTAGGAAAACGAGGGCCACACAGTGACCAGACTTGTTTTCCACAGCTGCTGAACCCTCCATCCCCTCCCGAGGAGACACAGCCTGGAGCACAGGGTGTGACAGAATCATGGCTGTCCAAGACCGTCTAGATGTCATAGAGGAGGTAATAAGGGTGGTTTGGGAGGTATGTGGCTTCAGGGACACCTGCCAGGCTGGTGGCTTTATAGGGCTCTGGCCAACCCTGCTTTGAAAAACTGGGGAAATGCCTGCAGATCCTGCTTCCTGGCCACAGAGTTAAACATTCGGGCTGTTGGGCTGACCAGTCCTCAAGGAACCCTGCCTTCCCTGGGGCCTTGCTAATACCCACCAGAGATCTCCACATAATCATTGCATGAGAAGGTAGAAATTCAGTCACTGTGTCTTGTTACATAGCTACGATTGTGATCTGGGCCCATAAATCTGTGTAGGGAAAAATTATACTTCACTGTCATAACCCCTTAACTGAAATTGAGCATCCCCATTCATTATAAATACAGACAACACACCACAGCAGTATTAATAGGACCATGGCTCATCAGCACCAGCAATCAGGTCATGCCATCCCGTTATAGTTACCATGATCGATTCTGTCTCAACACATTTATCCTCACAAGCATGTCAAAATTACAGTAGCTGCTGGGCACAATGCTAGTTCATATTATTTAATGAATTAATAAATCTTTTATATAAAAAATTTTAATACTTGAATAACATTTTATTGCATTCGGTGTCCTTGGAATGCCCATATTTTACCTTTATCAATTAAAGAGGTCTGCTGGTTTCACTGTTCTATTAATAGGGCCCATGCATTTAAAAAGTTAAGAAAAAGTAGAGCTCTGAATGAGGAAAATTTCAAAATCCGAAGCCTGTCGTTTGGCAGAATTGCCGCCAGGGGGCGGGACAACAAAAGGAATGTGAGTACTCAGGGGTGATGTCCTAAAGAGGAAAAAGGAATCCTGGAGTTGCTCATGCCAAACCTGTGACTGAGTGCCAAGCCAGGAGTGAGTCCTAGGATGTTGTCACCCGGGAAGCTGAGAGTCAGGGAGGGATGAGTCTGAATGAGAAGCCCCCAGGTCCCTGGCTCCCAGTTCTCGCCCCACTGCACCCTGCTGCATCAACAGATGATCTTTGGGATGTGGCCAATCAAGCAGACTTGGTACCTTTCATCCTGACGGCCTGTCCCCACCTTGCTCCCATCCCATATCTCCTTGCTCTAGACGGTGGAGAAGACAGTGGAGCACCTGGAGGCAGAAGTGAAAGGCCTGCTGGGTCAGCTGGAGGAGCTGGCCTGGAACCTGCCCCCGGGTCCCCTCAGCCCGACCCCCGACCTCCTTGGAGATGGTGAGCAGCTCAGGTAGCAGAGACCACAGCCTTTGGGGCAGGGCTTGCAGGATGGTGGGGCTGCTCCACTGCACAGGGTGGCCCTAATGATCCAGAGAGGCTCCAGCTCCTCCTCGGAGCAGAAATGAGGCTTCCCATAGCTCACCCCAAGAGTCGTCTGCCCCTTCTCCCAGCCCTGGGTTGTCACAGCCCAGCATCAGGGCTCCTGGAAGAACTGGCTTTGTTCACGCTGAGTTCCCCTCTCAGCACCACCTGACAGCCCCAGGCCGCTTCCCTGCACCTCAGCTCAAGGGTCCACTCCTGTGCCACCACCATGTCTACAGGGAAGACTGGCATCCCTCCCATTGGGCAGTGGTGGGTGCCGCCCTGCTCCTTCCTTGAGCCCTGGTTCCCTGCACACAGTTCAGGGAGATCGGGGAGGGGGGGCAGTGAGCCTTCATACCCGCTGCTGGCTGATACAAAGGCTGCCCCCTTTCTTCTAGATCACTTCTGAGTCTGGGGAGCAAGAAGCCCAGCAGCTGGAAGTGATACCCGTCAGCTCCCCTCCGAGACAGAGCCGCTGTGCACCCTGGACACCCCTCCTCAGTCTGTGCCCAATAAAAGCTACTCCTTTGACCCCCCGTGTCTGCTGACAGTGACCCCTACAACCACGGCTCCTTCTCCTTTGGCTCCTACCCCCTGAGACACTCAGGCCCTTGCAGGCTGTGCTTCCACAGAGTAGGGGCTAACCAGAGGGGGTCACCCAAGGTCCAGAATTAAGATGACACAGCAGAAGGGCCCTTGGAGTGGCCTTGTTACATGTGACCAGGGAGGAGCAGTAGCACCATCACCGGGGGGCCTGTCAGAAATGAAGAATTTGGGGACCCATCCAGACCTCCTAACTCAGAATCTACAGTTTAGAGATCTCCAGAGGATTTGTGTGCACACTATAAAGTTCTTTAAATTTTTCCATTGAGGTGAAAATCACATAACATGAAATTCCAACTTTTAAACTTCAGATCCAATAACTTACAGTAGATTCACAATGTTGTACACTCGTGACCAATTCCAGAACATATTCATCACTCCCAAAAGAAACCCTGTACCTAACTAGGCAGTTCATTCCCTTTCTCCCTCCGATCAGTTCTTGGAAACCAGTAGTATTTCTCTGGATTTGCCTTTTCTAGACACTTCATATAAAAAGAAATCATACAGTATATGGTTCTCTGTGACGTTGTTCATTTAGCATTTTCTCAAGCTCTGTCCATGTTGTAGCCTGTGTCAGTACTTCATCCTCTTTTATGACTGAATAATGTTCCATTGTATGGATGTGCCACATTTTATTCATCTACGCAATAACTGGTGGGCATTTAGGTCATTTGTGGCTGTTATGAACATCGATGTATTTTTTTTTTTTTTACATGGACGTGTTTTCATTTCTCTCAGAGGGAATGGAATGGAATTGCTGAGTCAAATAGTAACTGTTTTTTGAAGAACCACCAAACTGTTTTGCAAAGCAGCTGTTCCATTTTACATTCCGATCAGAAGGTTACACACAAGGGTTTCAATTTTTCCACATTGAAAAACTGAATGGCCCCAGTGGTTATGCACACAACTGTCTGACTATAGCCAATGTATTAGGTGAGAAGAGCATCTCATCGTGGTTTTAATTTGCATTTATTTGATGACTAGCGATGCTATCTTTCCGTGGGGTCGTTGGCCATTTGTATTTTGAGAAATATCTATTTAGGTCCTTTGCCCATTTTAAAAACTGGATTGTCTTTCTGTGGCCGAGTTGTAAAGAATTCTTTGTGTTGTAGATACAAGACTTTTTTCAGGCACATGACTTGCAAATATTTTGTCCCATTCAAACACAGGTTGTGGGCCTCCCCGGTGGCACAGCAGTTGAGCGCTGGGTTGCGAAGCTACCCGCAGCCTCTGCAGCGCAGGTTCGATCCCCGGCTGCTCCCCGGCCACCAGAGGAGGGTCCCACATGGCGTGCAGACCTCTTCTGCCGCCCGCTGCTCCCCTCAGCAGTGTGCTTCGGTCCTTCTGCCTGCTCTGCTCCCCGCTCTGGCTCTGGTGAATTCTCTCACCCTCCCGTGCTTCTGACTGTACCCAGTGCATGTATAAACAAAAAAACAAACAAATAGATAAACAAACACAGGTTGTGTTTTTGCTGTCTTACAGTATACTTTGAAACAAAAGTTTTAGTTTTGATGAAATTCTGCTTATCTTCCTCTCATTGCTTGTGCACTTGGTATGTATGTCCTGATAATCCACTGCCAAATTCATGAATATTATTCCTCTTTTCCCCCACCCTGAGATCTTTATAGCTTAAGCTCTTACATTTATTTCTTTTGATCTACTTTGAGTTAAATTTTGTATATGGTATGAAGTAAGGATCCAAATCATTCCTTTGCCTATAGATAGCCAGTTGTTCCTCTATTATTGGTTGAGGAGAATATTCTCTCCCACTAAATGGTCCTGAAACACTTGTCAAAAATCAAAAGAGCACAGGCATTTGGGTGCACTTTTGGACTCTCAATTCTACCACATGGTGCCCACCTTCCTCTCTGGCCCCAGTGGTCATGCACACACCCTCCTACTCATCCCCCTTCTGCAGGACATGGTGAACAGCACAGTCCTCTACCTCACCTGCAGAGGACTTCACTGCATCTGTTTCTGATCAAAGTCTCCACACCCTTTCAGTGTGGGTCTCCAGAATAATTTCAGAAACTGCCCTTCTTGGGAACTTAAACCCAGGTTCCATAAATTACTTATGCTCAGGGTCTCCTACCACAAACTTTTATTTAAAGTCACATAAGTTTTCACTGGCTACTAATGTTGGAACCCATGAACTGCAGGGCAGAATCACGAAGCAGAAGAAAACACGCTGGCACCAGGATAACATTTCTAGAACGTTCCAGCGCTGGCTGACTTTAATTTAGAAACAGCTTTTGGCTATCGACATTCAGGTTTAAGGCACATTCCAAATTACAAGAAACTCTGTTATTGGCAGGGAGTTGGCTTTGTTCTCATGGTTTTGCACGAAAGAAGGAACAGATGACTTTCTGGCCTTTTTTTTCCCCTCTAAAAAGGAGTATGTTTGGCAATAACAAAGCCCATGACACATTCTCACCAGATGCGAAGATCACCCTGTAATGATCTTCCCCTTTCTCAGTGAGGACATGGTGCTGCCCCACCCAACCTCTCCCATGTGAAATATATATGCAGCAAAGAGACTTGTGTCTGGCGATGACTATTAAAAAAAAAGTTGCCTAAATAAAAATATAAAAATTATATGATTAAAATGAAGCCAAGAGTCTCAGCCACAGCAAAGGGAATGATTGCATGGGCCTGGAAATAAAACATCTACGTTAGCAGCAAAAGGCTGTGAGGGATGGGAGTGACAGTTGTCCCAAGAGTTCAGCCTGACCCTTGTCCTGCACAAGAACAGGACAGCCGGTCAGGAGGGGCAGGCAGAGGACGGGGCCGAGGCTCTGTGGAAGGCCCACATTGGGAAATCTCCGGGATTGTTTTGTGGGTTAGAAATAGATGGACATTGTTTTGGCCTTTTCCTGGCACTGCCACTGCCAGCAGGCAGACACCAATCATGCTTAGTCGTTGCCCCCGCAGATCTTCAGCAGAATCTTCCGGTAATCCCCTGAGGTGTCTCCCTGGTCATAGAAACAAGGGAGGCATGAGTGAAGGGGGTACAGTTAATTTTGGTCGCCTGGCTCCTGATTTTTCTCCTGCCTTAAGCCCCCTCAAAGAGAGGTAGGATCCTTGGGAAAGTCCCCCCACGCTGCCCCCAGAGCAGGTGAGCAGTGTCAGCGTGCCTCCCAACCCCGTTTCAACACAAGGCTGCACTCATCCCAGTGATCGAAGTCGGGGATTGAAAAAAGATTTAAAACAGCCCACCAGGGCCACCAATTTGCACTAAGATGGGTTTAGACTATAATGCAATTCTGTCCTGCTCAGGAAGTGGATCTGTGATATGACCATCCAGTGGAAGTGCTGTGTTATTGGGGCCTCCAGTTCACACTGATCTCCCCTCCATCCCAGTGCACTGCGTTTATTTAGAAGCGCAGGTCAGCTTAGCTAATATCTAATCGTTTCTTCCCTTGAAGCCAGACCTCTGCTTCTTCTACATGCCCACAGCCCACTGGCACAAGGGAGATACTTTGTGGACGATGATTAATTCTCTTCTATCAATAGTATTGGTTTTTTTACAGCCAGGGAAAGAGAGATGCGCTTCTCTCAGTGACATGTCTGATGGCAAACACCAGGAAGTCTTGATCAGGACCCAGTCGGGGTGACCGCAGTTTCCAGCCAGAGGGGAATCACTGTGTCAGGCTGGTCTGCATGCACGGCAGAGGAATAGCTGGTGTTTCTCAGACTCTGACATGTCACGCCATGTGCTCTGTGAGGATGTGGGGGCTACTATCACCCTCAGCTTAAGGATGCTGGCCCTGGGGTTCAGATTTTAGAAGCTGCTTGAAATCACACAGGGGTCAGAACTGGTCTCTAAGTGAAGCGACTCCTAAGACCTGGCTTTGACTGCCTTCCTGGGTCACCTCTGCCATAAAGCAGAGTTAAAGAAGAGACCAGTCTCAATCCCTGAGCAGAGCTGAGCCCCAGGGTGGATCACAGAATCATAGGTGGCCAGGACTCTGAAGGCCAGCCCCAAGCAGTCTGGGGTGTCCTGCGTTCTCTGGTTTTGATGTTTGGATCACAACCCCCAGCCCTGTCCTCTTTATGAGCAGCAAAGGAGCTGGATGTTGGGGGTCATGGCGGGCAACATCAGGGTCAGCACCCACTCTGCCTTCAGAACTTACACTGCTTGGTGGCAACGAGTGAAAGTCTAAGACAGGAATTATGAGTCCCATAAACAAGAGACTGGGGCAAGGCCATGGGAGGTACATGGTATGGGAAGGGAGGTCCCCAGGACAGTGGGGGTCAGGGGCCGCCCAAGGGCCCTTACCGTGATGTCGTGGTACAGCGACTTGCTATACAGGCGCTTATACTCTGATCTGATGTCCAGGAGGTCAGTCTCGCTGCGGGACACCATGATGCGAATCAGGGTTCGGTCCTTCGTCCCTGCTCCCTGAGGAGAGTCCACCATGAGGTGAGTAAGGGGCTCCCTTGGCTTCCTCCTCCGGAGGACCCCTTCCCCCACCTGGCGCCCTCTGTCCTCTAGGCTGAGGGGCACTCTCCTCAAGTCTCCACCCGGGGAGAGGCCCCAGGCACAGGTGGGCAGACAGAGCCTGGACTCCCGGCAGTACCTACCCTCATGGCATTGTTGAGTCTTTCAGCAAAGAAGGCGGGGGTGTTCTTGAGACATTTCACTAGAAGAGAGAACACAGCGTGACCACCTGCAGGCACTCTGTGGAAGGGGGGCATGGAGCGCAGTCTCCTATACGAGGCTGGTCACAGCCTCTACCATCCTCCCTCCCTTCTCCAGGCTCAGTTATTCCATGATCCTGGCTGTAGTTCTTTGCAAAAGCAAGCACACAGAGCCTGGACACCACTCCAACCTCTTCCCTGGCAACCAGTGTGGAGAAAGGCGCTGAGCAGGGAGGCAGTACACTGCTCAGGCGGAAGGGGCACACTGGAGGTGCCGTGAGAAAGGACGCAAGGCCGAGCAGAAGGCCCATCTCCCTAGAGTTCTCAGGCCACAACACCACCGTGGGGGATGAGCAGGGCAATGAGGATTTACCATCTGCCCCGTTCAGAAAGCAAAGCCAAAGTCGGATAAACTGATTTTCCCAAGTGGATACAAAGCGGGGTTCAGGCAGGCCACAGAGCAGGGCCAATCCCTGTGGGGGAGCCGGCAGCCAGACCCTGTGCTGTCGGGCAGACACCACAAGAAGCACACCCGAGTCTGGGAGTGAAGCCAGCTTTCCTTAGCAAGAGCCTGTTTTGCTGTTGCAAGTAAAAATCTTTCCACGTGTTTCCATCATAAACATCTGACAACTGCCTGCAGGGATGTATTTTTAGAGGAAACTTGGCAGGATGTGAGTCATCTTCCTCTGGGAGAGAGCTGGTTGCTCTCCCACTAATACCTACACTGCGGCTCCCTTCCCAGAGCTGCGCTTGACATACAAACAGGACACCTCGGAGCAGCCGGGGGCATGACTGCTGTGCGCTCCAGGAAGCGGGTACAGCTTCCCAGCACTGCGCTAGCTGAACTCAGCCATCCCCGATTCCAGGGTTCTTTTACTATACCCTCCATCAAACACTGGATGGGTGAGTACCCTGACAACGTACAGTCCATGCCAGACACCCATGAGGGCAAGGCGGGCCCGACACCTACCCACGGCCAGCATGCCCTTTTCCAGGTCCCCAGACATCTCCCGACAGATGCTCTTCTCAATGTCTCGACCCGTCATTCGCTGATACTCATTGAAAACTTGTGGGAAGACAGAGGGACAAGTTATAACTAAATTCCACCCCCTCACCCATTTGCTCCAACCCCTTTTCAGGCACACTGGGAGCCCCTGCTCAGGGCCCGTGCCCTGGCAACTCTCTCAGGGAGGACTGCCCTGGCCGCTCTACCACTCCCCATTCCCGTTCCCATCTTTAATATTTTTCTCTAAAGGATTTACCCCAAGCAAACAGGTAAGAGAACAGAGACTCCAGGGTTGACTGCTTCCCCACACGCAGGAGCTCCATTTATGCTTGCTGAATGGGTAAATTAATGCTACTTGGCATTGTTCTTATGCCACACTTCGGGGACCCTGGATGAGGCGTTCTGTAGGCTCTCTCAACCCTGATATTTCACCTTCTAGTGTATAAAGATACCAGCCCACAGGAGGCTCCCATTTTCCGCAGCTCTATGGCTTCCACCAGAATCAGCAGCTTACAGAATCTCAGCACATCTGCTGCGAGTGCTTTAAATCTCCACCAGGGGGCTCTTGAAGGCAGCGAACCCCAGGTAGAGCAGCAGACCCAGTGCTCTGCTAGCTGTTTCCCCTCCCAGCCCACCCACCCCCGCATTCCTCTGTCCTGCAGCAGAGAGGCCAAGGCTGCCTTACCTGCCACCAGGTGGGCCCGGCTTCGGGAGCACAGAACTGCATTGAACTTGGACTCATCTGTTCCCAGGCGGTTCTCCCCAGCTGCATACAGGTCCTGGGCAGATGGGGGAAGACAGACATGCAATGTGGGCTTCACCCAGACAGCAGGCCCAGGTCACCTAGGCGGGCTGGGCAAAGGAAATGGAGCAATCTCTGGCTGTGCTCCCCTCACAGAGCTAGACACCATTCACACATCCCCTCCCAGGGCAACAGATGTTTCTGGAATTGGGATGGGGGCCGAGGACATTTATTTAGAACCAGGAGAACCAGGGCTGATTGGGGCACAGGAGAGGCAAGGAACAACTTCAGTTCGGCCAAGGAAGCTGGTTTATAGGTTCAAATCTTCAAAAGGTTAACAGGCAAGTGCAAATCCTACCCCTCTGCAAACAATGGCATATGCAATTAAAAACAGGAAAATTGCTAAGTCACATGAAATCCCACACCCATAACTGATCCACCAACTATTGTCATATTGAATATCCCACGTTTGCTCCCAGGGGTGGGGAACTGAAGCCTGGGGAAGTTGAGGGACCTGCTCAAGGTCACACAATAGATAAGCAGCAGAGTCCATCTGAGGCTCATGGCACCTTGAACCCACTCCTGACTGGTTGCTCTTTCCATGCCAGAGCACCTCCCTTTTCAGGTAAGAAAGTGGGGGACACTCTGGGCTCAGGACACCCAGTGGGGAACCTGCCATCACACTCACCTGGACATCTCTTTGGACGAGTGACATATCCACATTTGTGCTTTCATCCCGGTTTCCCTGAAATCAAGCAGGCTGAATGGTCAGAACCACTCCTTGGAGCTACCCCCGGCCCCATCCCAGCTCCCGTTCCTCACGGCCCAGAGATCCACCTCTCTCTCCTCTCGGCCCCAGCTCAGTCATGAGAAAGGTACCTGAGCAAGAGAGATGAGGAGACGCTGGAAGTGCCCTGACGTGTCTCTGCGAATGTCATCCTCCAGGGACACTTTGAATTCTGAAAGGGAGACACAGGGAGGGTCCCTTTTACCCCGTGGACAAGGCTGCCCACTGCACACATCAACAGTGGGCACTGTGAGAGAAGGGCCTGAGTGTTTTGGGCATGGGGAGATGGGCAGCCCAGACAGCCCTCCAGGGACATCTATCCAGGAGGGGCTGTGACCACCAGGTTGAGGTCCCAGGCCTCTGGTCTGGCTTGGCCCAAACCACACCCAAGAGGTTTTCCTCAGCAACCCCCTTGCCTTTATCACCTGCCCTCACCTGAACAACAGGCAGGGCCATGTCTCGGCTCAAAGCCCAGTGTGTGGGGAGTGGCAAGAGACAAGGTGATAAGAAGGTCAGAGGGAATAAGAGGCCCGTCGAGAGGGTGTGACAGGCCCAGAAAGTTCAGGGATCTCCAAGGGCAGATCCAGGGACCTCCTGAACTAAAAGTTCAGGTCCCTCCAAGGGACCAGGCTAACCTGCTTTGTAGGCTCCATTCAGTTCCCGGATGTGGTTGTTGCTGCGGGAGGCGAGGATCTCAATCAGGCAGGCTTCATCGGTGCCAGCCCCCTGGGGTGGTGAGAACACAACAAACCATAAGCTTGTTACAGCTCCCTCACTGGCACCCTGGTAAGAGCAGGTGCCACTTCACCGCCCTATCCCCAAAAGCACAAACCCCAGCAGCCCCTGACAGAGAGACATGCCCGGATGCTGCAGCAGCTGCTGCCCATGTCTGAGGCAGCTGAGCCACCTGCCAAGCCTGGGTCCAGGAAAGTACCAGGTTAACGACAGTGGCAATCACATGGAGGATCACCCACATTCCATCCACCAGGAAACTAAGAATCAGAGAGGTGGAGTGACTCATCCAAGGCCACACAGTAAATTGTGGGTTGAGATGTGGACCCAGATCAGTTTTATAATGTCAGCCCAGAGATGATAAACAGCTGACAAAATATTTAAAGCCAGAAAGTGGACATGTAGAAAAACTAGAGCCTAGAGTGGACTGTGGAGCATCTGAAGACTTGAAGGAAAAGAAGCAACACTGGGGACAAAAAAAGATGACCATGTCAGGGACCATAAGAAGATGGAGATGAAATCAGTGGCCTGGCTCTGCGTGACCGTGGGGACATGACGTAACCTCTCTGTGCCATAAAAGAGGAGTGGTACAAGTACAATCTCATAGGGAAACCATAGGATTAAATGAAATATATATGTAAAGAACCTAGAACAATCCCTTCACCCCGAAGGGGGCTGGATACCCAGGGGATGGCTATGGTTACGATTACTACTGCTAGTGGATTACTTCATTTACAGAGAACTTTGTTAGCCGCCGTGCTCACTGCTCACCACACAAGATGGAGAATCTACACTCCCATTTAACAGAGACTCAAGGACACAGCTAGTTAGGGTGAGCTGACCCCACAGTACCCCACAACCACCTCTACCTCTGAAGCTGGCTGGAAGCAGGAGGCAGGTTAGGACCTTATGCCATAGCCCTTCCCAATTACCCCTTGATCCACTTTATAGAAGAAAGCATGCAGGCTGGTCCAGTGGAGTCCTCACTCCCTCCAGGCCCACACTGAGCTCTCCTCCCGGGGCAGGAAAAGTTACTCGGCCTATCAGGCCTCTGAGAAAGGTCTGTTCTAACTTGCTCAAATCACCAGGATTCACCTTCTGTGGGGGCTACTCCTGCCCTCCCAAAGGAAACATGCTGTGGATGTGGGGGCCACAGGATCATGCGGAATGTACAGGACCCTCCTCTTGGTCACACCAGATTAGACTGGGGTAAGAGAGTGAACCCACACTAAGCCAATCAGCATCTGCTTTCTATTTGGAATTTGGACTGACGGACAGACGGTCTCCTCCATGGCCAGACTTGTGATAGGTAAATGGAGAAATGTCCACAAGGATCTTCTGCCAAGCAGGAGAAACACAGAAGCAGCCGGAATAACAAAGTGGACACTTAGGAAGCAGCAGACATGGGAGAAAGCCTGCCTGGGGTTTTGCCCTTTATATCTCCTAGCTCCACACCTCTCTAGTCCAGGAGGCTGGTCCTTTGTCTTTATACTCATAACTGACTTTCTACCTTTACTTTGCTTAAACTTCTCAAGAGTGCTTCTGTCATTTGTGAGTAAGAGAGTCCTAATGAGTGAGGATGATCCCACCCCCATCTCCCTGCCACTAGCTTCCTCTTCAACCCCAGCTCTAGACTTAGCTGCTCCCTGTTCCGGAATGACACGCTCATTTGCCTCCTGGGGAAGTCACCCATCTCTAGCACTTAGACTTCAACCTGGGAGGGCCAGAAGTCGTGCCGACAACTGCAGTTAGTGAGGGGGTGAGACACATAGTCCAGGCTTTCTTCTGGGCTGTGTCCACACATATGCACGCGCGCACACACACACACACACACACACACACACACGCACGCACAGGTACACACCTTGATGGCCTCCTTTATCTCATAAGCATCAAAGAGGATGGGGGTCTTCATCATAGCCAAGATGGTCTTCTCAAAATTTCCTGACAGTTCAGATTTCAGATCTTTGATTAAATCCTGATTGGATATTGAAACAAACAAAAGACTTTGAGAACCCACAAAAGAAGACTAATAGGGACAATATCCGGATCAGAGGACCAGCAGCACTAGCATCTGCTGAGACCTGGCACAAAAGTCAAGTCCTAGGCCCCAGCCCAAATCTATAGATTGGAGTTGTATCTTCACCAGATTCCCAGGGGACCCATGGCACACTGCAGCTGCATGAGCCAAGTCAGAACACGAGCTATTTAATATTTACCCAATTTCCACCTTTTTAACATTCCACGTGCCAGAAAGGCAAAATACCACCCCCACCCCTATGATTATTACTGAAACCCTTTTCCTTCAAAGCTCTCTGTCAGCTACCTCCTGCAGTGGTAGTGAAGCAGCCTGGTCCCCAGGAGGACCAGCCAGATCTCTGAGCACCTCTCACCAAACAGCAGTACCCTCTGGACCCTGGGATTTCTCCCTAAGCATCCTTCAACTCTAGAAGATGCCATCAGCGAAACGGCCACTGGCTGGGTGGGCAGCAGGAAATGTCCTAAAGAGCTTTACTGTCCATCTAGGAGAGCAAGGCCCACTCAGCCTCAAAGAAAAGCAAGGGAAAAAAGAAAGCCTGTGCTGGAGGATGTACGGGAGGGACCAGGCTCCCTATGCCCCTGCCCGTACTCACCTTCCCGTAAGCTGTCTTGAAGGACAGGAGAATCTGCTGTCGCTGCTTGTTAGAGCGACTCCCCAGGCAGTCGATGATGGCCTGCTCATCAGTTCCTGGAGGAAGAAGAGGTGGGAGTAGGTGGGGCTGGAGGTCATGGGAGTCCCTGCAGCTGGAGACTATGCAGGGCCCGGGTCCTCCAGTTCTCCTGGGCATCCTCACTGCACCCCCCCTTATCTTTATCTTCCATCGCCTCTGGGGTCAGAGTCACTGTGCAACTGCCCAGACAATCAGGGGGCAGTTAGGGTGTCTCACCAAAGCCTTTCATAGCTTTCCTCAGGACTTCAGCATCTCTCAAGGGGTCAAAGCCAGAAGCATCTGTGATGGTGCCTCGGTTTCCAAACTGCAGGGACAAGCAAAATTGGATAAGAAGCCACACTCCCCAGATGCAAGACTGCCCCACCCCAGCCTCTAAGAACAACCTCATCACCAACACTTGGGGTATCTGAAGGAGCCTGCACGCAACAGCGCAGAACTTACATTAAGTGGGCACAACTTCACCATGAGTCCTCGTGTTCTGGTCCTGAAGTCTCTGCCAAGCTCTGGGGGCTAGGTCCACCCACAGCTGAATCCCAAAGCTGAAAATCTGCCCTCCATCCGGGTCCTCCAGGGCTCACTGCCTCACCACCAGAGCACCCATTAGCATACATGGGGGTCCTCTTACTACCCAACTAGTTTAGTTTGCATAAATTAGAAAAAGAGGGATGCAGTGAGCCACCTGCAAAGGGACTGCCTCTTGGGCTAGCACTGGTTTTATAGAATCTGTGACCTGCTTGCCTGCAGGACTTCTCCCTGAGGCTGACAACTGCACTCCCCAGCAAACTGGAATTTCCCTGCCAATACTGTCTCCTGGTGGATCATCTTCTGGAGTTGGCACATACCGGTTGCTTCAGAGTTAAGGAGATGGGCTCAAAGAAAAGATAAGGTGGAAGGCAGGGAGGAAGGATGGAGTATAGGGCAGGAGTCGGGGAAAGTGTGGGTGTGGGGCTGGGAGGAGGGGAGACCCACGATCTAAAAATAGTAGTCAAGCACATAGCACTAGCCCTGCACTTGGCTGGTTTGGCCATGTAACCATGACAATGAATTCTAGGCTCTGCTAACAAGAACTACTCTTCAAAATGAGCAAAGATTGGCCTTGAAGGAACTGTCAACAAATGTCCCTACTCAACAGAGGCTTTAAGGGTCCCCTAGCACCAGTCTGGCAGGGTAAACGCAGGGGGCTGAAGACCACATTTTGGGGCATAAGAGATTAGTGGTCTGAGCAGTTCACACAAAACCCAGCAGTAAACATAGAGGAATAAAGAGCACCCTGGGACATTCAGATCCAACAAGTACATGGAGTATCTAACCAAACTGGAACAGTTTATGGAACATGAACCAGGAGTGGGGAATGAGAGAGGAAGTAACACTCTCTACTGAACAGAAAGCTGCCGCTGTAGGACTGAGCCCTCTCCCCGCCCCACCTTCCCAGTCCTTGCTGAACTACGTGTCTCAGGACTTTGGAGCTCAGGGTTGAACCTATCAGAGTACCAGCAGGGAGCAATGTGAATTCACTGAGCCTGTGAATGATGTCTTTAATGAACTCCATCCCCTGATGATGTTAGGGGCCCCAACCCCAACTCCATGCTGACTCCCAGCATGCCATGGATCTGACTTCCTGAAGAGGGGCCTGCTGGAAATTAGTGGAGGAGTTAAGCAGCAATACTTGACTTATAACTAAATACATGTGGGCTTGGAGGCTCTTACTTTTCTGGTTTCGACTTGTACCCTGGGACTTGGAGGAGAAATGCGAGACACTTAGAAGAGATACTTGGAAGAGACATATGGGTGCGAAACACGTGGGAAGGCTGTTCCCAGTCCTTTGCAGAGACAATGGCAGCCGTTACCTTAATGGTACATGATGAATTTTGAGTCTCTCCTCTGTCCGCTCAATCAGGGGTCTTCCAAATCCCTTTCTTGTAGTTCCCCACCAGAAGGTACCTTAGACTATGGCAAGCTTTTGGGCCCCAGCAGTCCCACTCCAGGCCCAGCCTGTTTGGCTGGGCATTAGCCCTCAAGGGGTTGGTTAACTTTTGAGTTTTATTGGAAAACTTATTTGAAAAAAATCTATCACACAAGTCTTCTTCTGCCTTGTGTAACATGGACGGTTGAATCCCATTAACAGTGTGCACCGCTTTCAGTTTAGGGCCCCTGGAGACCCCTCAGTTGTTTGCTAACAGACTTAGGGTAATGTGAAGCTGGCACTCACCTGGGCTGGGAGCACGGCAGGGGTGACAGGCCCAGACCCTGCATATCCAGGGTAGCTTGGCACTGGCTGCTGCTGCTGCCCAGGAGGTGGCATCGGCGACTGCCCAGGGTAGGTCATTGGTGGTTGCCCAGGGTAGGCCCCTGGGGGCTGCTGCCCAGGGGGCGGCATGGGCTGGCCTGGCACAGGGGCCCCTGGGTATGGCGGATATGCAGGCATCCCAGTGGGTGGGTTTCCTCCAGGGGGTGGGTACATTCCATAAGGAGGAACAGGCTGCTGGGCAGACGGGGGCTGCCCAAATCCCCCAGGGGGAACTGGAGGATAACCACCTCCTGGGGCCCCTGGGTACATGTTTGGGACGTTGGCTCCTCCGAAGGTCCCGGACATGCTGGCCGCCTGCAAGTTCAAAAAGCAAAACCTAAGACAAATGGTCCCAGCACCACAGGTCTGCTCTCCATCTACCTGCCCTGGGCCTGGCAGTGGACTCTGGGAGCCACACTCAGAGCTCCAGCAGAAATCAAGCACCGCAGGCTTCTCAGCAAGGCTCAATCTGATCAGCCAACTTAACCACTGTTCCACGCCCCCTCCACCCTCACTCCTGATGCCTTTACCTGCTTTTATGCCCAAAACAGCCATGTTGCTCTGATACTTCACGGTTTACTTATGTCTACTGTCTGTCTCCCCGGTGGAGAAGTCCTCTAGGGCTGGGATTTTGTGTGTTTGATTCACACCTCGCCAATGCCGAGAACAGGCCTGGCACAAATGAGACTGCATACTGGCTACACCGTTTACATTTAGCATCCATTTCTTTTCAGATTATAAAACAGATGATTTTAAAAGCAAATAAGCAGCATGTCTGCCCATGCTCCCAAGAATCTGCTCCCAGGCCAATCAGAAGAATCACCCATAAATATACCAGACACGCATGCACAACCACACCCATACACACTTCTCTCTCCTACCTTGTGCTGTGCTCACTCGGGTGCGCAATACCTATTCTAAGAAAGCACCACCCTACCCAATCCTCCAGAGCTGCAGGGGGCATGCGAGACCCGAGGCCCATATACCCCACTTCCCCTCATCTTATAGTTGGGAAAATCGAATACATGAAGAGGCAGTGAGCAGGTGAGAGTCCTGATAAAAACTTAAAAAAATTAAAACTCTTCTGTCCTAAGACGCAGCTACATGCTCAGCATTCCAGGTAAACACGCACAGATGCCTCAAGCCATGGAAGCAGCAGCCTCTACTCCCTGGCCACGCAGGTGTGGTCCCCAGGGGCAGCCTTAGCAGGAGGGCTGGACTCACCGTTCCCGAAAGGTAGTCCTGGTTGAACTGTCCAGCGTAGTTGGCCACATTATCCAGCCCAATGGGGGGCATGCTGGGCGGGGGGTAGCCAGCACCTCCCCAGGGAGCGCCACCTGAAAGCAACACCAAACCCTTTAGACCATCAGACCTCTAAACAGAGGAAGGCATGTTAGGGGGAAAAGGATGTCCTAAAGCTAATTCCATACAGGCTTTGTGGACTCCACCCCCATCCCAGGCCAAAGCCAAAGACACTGGGAACTCCAAATGCCATCACCACCAAAGGGAAGGTGGCTGGGACCTGAGGGTGGGGTTAAGCAGTCAGATTGGTATAAAGGCAGACACGTGGGCTTTGGAGGGGTCCCCCATTTTGGCTCTCCGCCAGCTCGCAGCGTCCGGCCAGTTCTGAGAGTGACTTTGGGTTTCCAGGTCAGCGGATCGGGTAGGACGCATTAAAGACTTTATTTCCCTATTTTCTCCCTGAGTTGTACATTTTCCTTATTTCCTTTTCCCTTGTAAATAAACCTTTTATTAACCTTTTGTGTGTGCCTGTAGTGGAATATTAATGAGTCCCTTTTAAGCGCGCGGGTGAGGACCCACAGCCAGGAACCCGTTCAATATTGGGGCTGCCCTATAACAGCTGGCGCCCAACGTGGTTTCCAAGCTTCACCCGTGGTTGACCAGCCCTAAGTAATTTTTCTTGCATTGGTCACCATAAAGCTAAGTCCCTTTTAAGTGCGCGGGTGAGGACCCACAGCCAGGCAACCCGTTCAATATCGGGGCTGCCCTATAACAGCTAGAGCCCTCAGTCTCCCTTGGGGTCAGGAGGGGAGGCCAAGCAGGGTCCAGGGAATAGCACCAGAGACCACGTGAAAAACACTTGAGCAAGAAAGTCTAATCTATTCTTGCTGCCAAAGCAAGAGAAGACAGAACCTCCCCCTCCATCCAGGGAGGAAGGTGGGGTTCAGCAAACACTCCCAAGAACCTCTGTGGGATATTAAGGAAGGAGGACAGCCAAGGGCAGGCCTTGCCCTCCTGGGCAGGTGTGCAGACACAAGAATGGGTCAGGTGGGGACAAGTGTGCGGAGACACAACAGTGTGAGCTCAGGAACTCCAAAAATCCACAAGATGTAAAAGCACAGAGGCTCAGAAGGGGGGGGGTGAGGAGGTAGGGGGAAGGGGAGAGGGAGGTGGGGTTCCTGCCCATGTGGTTGTTTGCTGTAACAAGTCCGTAGGAGGCAGGAAAAGTAGCATGAGAAGATGGAGGGAGACAGGCTGAGTCACCAAAAACAGACACCTTGTGGATTCCCCAGGCCCCTTATTCTCGGGATTTTGCTTGGTACCCAAAGTTGCTGCTGGTCAAGCTAAACTGTAGTCAGGCAGGGGGCCTCTCTCCAGGACAAAGTGCTGGTATGAGGATATCTGCTGAAAACAGCAGGCAGACATTATGGCCAGATTAGCATAACTAGCTAGACCACCTTGACAGGAAGACAAGTGTAAACAGGGAATAGAGACTGATCCTCTCAATCAGCATCAACAATGGAGCCCCCCAGGCAACAGCCCCTATTCACTCCGCCCTGGCTAGTGCCAGACTATTATGCATCCCCAATCTACATCCCCACCATGCACATTCCTCCACACATTCCTCCCCGCACTTGCCCACCTTCCCTGAATCTGATACCAAATAAGTGTGAGATTGGGGTTGGGGGAGGACAGGCCTGCATCTCCATAGGGGTAAGCCCCTCTAGGTCTCTCTCTCACTACTTGGACTTTGAGTTGTCTTTCCTCCATCCCACGCAATGCTGCAGCCCAGCAAGGGGACAGACACCTGTGCTTGCAAGGGGTCAAGTAGGGGAACAGCAGAAAACAGTTGAGCTCTGACACCTACACCGCAGGCTATGTGCCCTGGGTGAGGCCCTTGCCACTCTAGGTTGGTTTTCTCAGCTGAGAAGTGGGGGTAATAAAGTATTTGCCTCAAACTGCTGATGAGGATTGAATTAACTTAATGCTGGTGAGTGTTCATGACAGCTGTCACTGTGACAGAGAGCTTGCAGCCAGCATCATGTGGCAGGTGCTGGCCCTGTTGGAAGAGGCCTGGAGGGTCTGGATTTTCAGTTTCCTGGCTTCAGGACAGTCAGGGCCTTTCCAGAATCACCTGGTTCATCCCTTTGCTCCTGGTTCATCCCTTTGCATGAGGGCTCCCGGGACAAGAGAGAGGAAAGGAACCACTCCAGGCTGGTCACCCGAGGTTCTGGAACCAGGCTGTCCCCCTAAAGAGGCTAACAGAGGCTGCAGAGGCTGACACTGTCCATAGGACTCCCACTGGAGAGAGGGGGCAGAGCAATGCTGGTTCATCTGGGGCAGGGGCTTAGTCGGGGGGAGCTAGCCTATGACAGTGGCTGAGTCACTCTCTGTTCTTGAACAATAGAGGGCTTCCAAAAGGCCCATGTGGCACTCAGACTCAGAACCTCAGCTCAGAGGAAAGGATGTGCCGTGGTCTTAGATGGGGGACAGCCTGGTTCCGGAACCTCAGGTGACCAGCCTGCAGTGGTTCCTTTCCTCTCTCTTGTCCCGGGAGCCCTCATGCTTCCTTTTCTACCATGGGGACCAAATCTCCTTTCAGAGACCCAGGAGAATCCAGGACTGGAGCAGATGATTTTTAAATGTGAGGAGAAGCATGGCCAGGCCAGGTTCTGACCGCCTGCTTGGATGATGCAGCCCCACTGCTATGGGCCCACAGCTTCCAGCGGCCACAGCAGTAACATCTAATTCTTAGCAACTGCCTCTACTTCTTCCCTTGGTGACGGAATCCTGCCACCACAAAACCTTGTACCTTGTGCACCAGGTAGCAGAAGTGACAAGGGGTTTGGGTCACCTGACAGTGCTCTGGAGGACACCGTGCCAAAGCTTTACCTGGCTATCCCATCAGTCTCCTGGACAGCCCAGTGAGAAAGAGATCCGTGAAACCATTTGCAAGGGAGAAAACCAAGTTTCAGAAAGAGAAGGCATCTGCCCACTGTTGTCAGTAGTAAGGAATGAGACCTGGTCCTGGCCTTCCAGAACAAACTTCCAAACCACACCCCTTCAGGTCCCACAGTCCAGGCTCCTTCCCAGCCCCTCCCCCTGCTGGGCTACACTCCTGAGGGCTGATGGGAGTGAGGACATGGCAGGAAAGCACAGGGCACTGGGCAGGAGGGCATTCTCACCTGACTCTCTTACCTGGTGCAGCTGGAGGGTAGCCGCCAGCGGGTGGGGGGTAGCCTGGGTAGCTCATGGCTGGATCTGAAAGGGAAGAAGCAGCATACTCAGACTCTTCAGAGAGCTCCCCCAACCTTCCCAGCAGCAACACTCACAGACACAAGATTTAAACTTTGTGTTTCAACCTGCCAGGTCCCCTGCAGGAGAAGCTGCTACAGGCTGACCTGTGATGAGCCAGTCTAACTCTTCCTGCGAGGGCTCCAGCCAGAAAGAGCAACAGGGCAGGCTCATCTTTAGGGCCAGACTCATGCGCGGGCCCCACCCCTACAGGAATCACCACCCACAGTCTGTGGGTTTCCTTGAAATCCCCTGGAACCTAAACCTCACCCCCACCTATCTGACAAGAGATGCTGCCTGTGGGGAGCACTTCCCCATCCTAGTTGGGACAGAGTCCAGGGGCTCGGATCTTTATCTTCCAGGGTCCTTGCCACCATCCATCCAGCAACAGGGGAAGCTAGAACCCCTATCTTCCTGGGCTCTGCCTACAGACGCCTGAACTCTCCACTCAGCCTCCACATTGGATCTGCTGCAAGCCACACTTCACTCTCCAACCTCTGGTTTGTGGGGGAGGGAACTTGGTATGGAATCGTCATTCCTGGAAACAAAAAAGGACCTCAGGAGGTTTCATCTGACCCAGGATATGGAATGAGGGCAAGCGAGGCTGCTTCCCTGCTGGTGCTGCGTGGGTACTTGGCTCTCCCAAAGTGCCCCTGTATACAGAGCCCTCTGCTTCGTTCCATGCCAGTCAAACTGCCCAGGAGGGACACAGACCAGCTGTGACACCAGCCACTCAGACACCATTCTTGCCAATTAGCAGCTGCAGCAATTTGTAGGGGCTCCCAATGACAGGCGAGGGTGTGTGAGGAAACCTGTACCTCCCTTAACAATCACACCTGCCCACTCCAGGTGAGGTGATCCTCCTTACTGCTGGGCCCTATGCCAGCTTATAGCACAGGTTCTCAAACTGCTGTGTGTATCAGAACCACCTAGAGGGCATGACCCAGGTGATGCTGCTGGTTTGGGGACCCCACTTGGAGAGCCACTGCACTAGACGTCACTATCCTACAAGATTCCAGTTGCCCTTCATTGCTATTGAAGAACTCAGCTCATTGTTCTTAAGGAAGCTAAGGGACTTCCTAAATGTGCTACTGCTTTTGTGCCACTTCCTAAATGGGCCTGCTTTTCAGTCCTATGCATGTGGTAAGGTGCGCTAGTCAGTGGGTCCAGAGGTGACTGTAGCCAAAGCAAGGGAAGGCCAAACAATGGCCTATTGACCTTAAAGAGAGGAAGAACTGGTTTCCTGCCATGTGGGCCAAATGCAGGCACCCTTTCCCGTGCACACTGGTGAGCTGGTTGGGGGGCCTGGGGTGGTACCTTCTGTCTGACTCAGCTCCCTGTGACTAGTCCTCAGCCTGACCCTTTGCCAAAACCCTAAGGCCTCACTGGTACAACCAGCCTGGGGGCTGGAATGAGGGATGGGCCTGCAACCTTCTGATGGAAGGAAAAGCATCCACCCTCAGGGCGACCACGGTGTGTTCCTGACACCACTCTCTGGAGACCACCACCAAGCCGAAGCTGTGGGCACCAAAGACCCCCATCTACTTTTGTCTCCACCCAGAGGAATGAGATCAAAGGCGCAAGATAGGGAAAAAAATCAAAACAAAACAAGAGCTGGCTACATACCAAATAAATTTCAGTCAGACCAAAGATTTAAACGTAAAAAGTAGCTCTGAATCCCGGAGACAAAATTAAAATTCCACACGATAAGACACAAACAGAAAAGAACACAAAGACAAGAGAAACCAAACTTAGGGGAAAAGACATACAAGAAAAAGATCCATAACCACTAGAACAACTTAAAATGCTGTGAACAGGCAGTTACAGAAATGGAAGTACAGAGCTCACTCTCACTAATAAACTGAGAATCACCAATTAAAAATACAGAGAAGCCAACATTAAAAATAACACTCTGGCCCAGAAACTACTTTGGAAAGTCTATGTCCCAGACCCACAACTGTGTGAAATGACCCGCGGACCTGGATTTTACTGGGCAACAACAGACTCTTAACTATCCACCTGTAAGAGGCTGGTTAAATAAACCTCCACGGACCCACAGGATGGGGGCTCTGTAGCTGCTTTTACAATTAGCCAGTTCTATACATGAAGCTACAATATGTTCCCAAGCTACAAACTTTGTGATACATACACTCAAAAACCAGACCTTCCCCAGCAGGATCAACAAGGCCCTGGGTAACAGAAGTTGCCTCTAGAGAAGAAGACCAGGGTGGAGATGAGCTTACTGTTAATATTTGCATTTTTTGCCACATGCATGTATTGCCTACTAAAAAACATTTTTTTTAATAATAAATTTTATTTTTATATTCCCCATACAATTGCAACCCCCCCATTCTGACCCCAATCCCTCCCCTCCCGCCCCCTACCCCCCAAAAAGTGTCTCTGGTTCATAGTTTTTTGTTGATAAAAAACATTTTTTAAATCAAGGTGACATTAGTTACAACACTGCATATGATTTAGGGGTAACAGGTTCAAACCTCTTCAGATGTATGTTACCACACCCACCACCAAAGCACCCATAACTCCTTCACCATAGTCCATTGGCCCCCTCCCACTGTGCCCATCACCCTTCCCCCTTCCCCTCTAGAGGCCTCAACTCAGTAGTCAGATATCTAGGGTTTGGAAAAAAACAACTTTTAAAAAGGCTCAATTCAGGTGGGGATTTCTGAGCTCCCTAGAGACCACAGTAGTTCTTCCAAGATTCAAATAGCTCACACAAGGTCCATTCAGTCCCAGGCAGCCCGGCCCTGAGCCTGGTGTTAGCCTTACGATATAAATATCCCATGAGACCGCTGGTGCTCCCACCCGGCAGGGCCTGCGCTGGCCTCAGACCACTCACAGGGCTGGATTAGGGTGGATGCCTATGGGAGATGAACTGTCCACTGTCCTTCCCCAGCCAGGCATTTAAAGTATTCATCTGTGTATTAGTTTTTCATCATTAAATCCTCTACCTGTTTTTATACAAAAATTTAAATATAGAGTCTAAGCTCAGATGATCTCTGCATATATATATGCTTCTTTAAATAAAAGAAGTCACAGACTGGGAGGAAATGTTTACAAAGACACATCTGATAAAGGACCATTATCCAAAATATAGAAAGAACTCCAAGGAAGATATACAGATGGCAGATAAGCATAAGAAAAGCTGCTCAATATCACACATCATTAGCAAATTGCAAGTTAAAACAACAGCGAGACACTGCAGTAGCTACTGGAATGGTCAAAAACCAAAACAGTGAAAATACGAAATACTGATGAGGCTATAGAGCACAGAAGTTCTCATTCATTGCTGTTGGGAATGCAAAACGCTATAGCCACTTTGGAAAACAGTCTGACAGTTTCTTACAAAACTAAATAAGAGTTTCACCATAGGATCCAGTAATCCCTGATATTTACCCCAACAAGCTGAAAATTTACATCCACACAAAAACTTGCTCACAGATTTTTAGAGCAGCTCTACTCATAAATGCCAACACCTGGAACAGCCAAGATGTTCTTTAGTAGGTGAATGGATAAGCTGTGGTACATCCAGATGACGGAATATTATTCAGTGTGAAAAAGAAAGGATTTTGTAAGTCATGAACATGGAACTTAAATGTCTATCACTATGTGAAAGACGCAAATCTAAAAAGCCCACAAGGTGTGTAATTCCAGTTATAGCACACTCTGGAAAAACAAAACTATGGAGATAGTAAAAAGATTAGTAACTGTCAAGAGTTAGAGGGATGAACAAGCAAAGCACAGGGGATTTTCAGGGCCACGTAGCTTGCTGAATGATACTGAACTGCTGGATACATAGGTCAAAACCCATGGACTGGACAACATCCAAAGTGAGTTCAGTATCAACTATGGGTGATGATGTGTCAAAGCAGGTTCAATTCGATTGTGAACTGTTACACATAGGCCAGTCTGGTGAGAAGAACTGACAGTGGCAGGTTGTACACATGTGTACTTTCCACTCATTTTTGTCATGAGCCTAGAATTGTTCCAAAAATAAATTACATTAAAAAAAAAAAAAAAAGGAATACAAGCACACTCTAGGGAAATACAAATGAGTAGAAAGGCACAAAGTGAAGAAAAACAAAAGGAATTCTTCCCCTCTAGTCCTGGCCTAAAGGGAGCCAGGGAACAGATTCTAATGTGTAATTTAAGGTCAAAAATAAATGACACAGGGCCTTCCCAGGTGGCGCAAGGGGTTACACACCACACTATGAATCAATCCACAGCCTCTGCAGCACGAGTTCGATGCCCGGCCGGCCAGGGAGAAACCCACATGGCGCAGCAGACCTCTCCTGTCTTGCCCGCTGCTCCCCTCAGCAGTGTGTTTCAGTCAGTCTGCCTGTTCTGTTTCCCACTCTGTCTCTGGTGGATCTTCTCACCCCGGTGCCCCGGCATCTTTGGCCTGTACCCCTGCTCTTGTATGCATAAATAAATAGAGCTTTAAAAAAAAAAAAAAATGACACACATCTATAAATGTTTATGCACCCGTGTGTGTGTAAGCATAAAGTTGATGTATGATCATACAGATAATTTCTTTTTAAACAAGAGAGATTTATGTGCTTATCTGCAAACTCTCCTTGTTCCAGTACAAGTTAGGTTTGAGCAGGCTTGGGTGCAATGAGTCGTCACATTCCTTGCTGGTGTACTTCCTGGCACTGTCTGGGAACTTAAGAGTTGACCAGCCATCAGCCAGTATGAGCAGCTCTCAGCCTCCACGCACTGCCAGGGAGTGCGCAGCATTCCAGCCCAGGTCACGGACCAGAGGGGGGAGGTGACCACCCAGCACAGGGTGTGGATGGGGCCTGACGCAAGCCAGAAATGTCTATCTCAGGCAGTCCAGTTCCAAGCATCTCCTACAGAACAAACAATTCAGGCCCTCACCTCTCAGGACTCTTTCTTCCTCCTGGATTTTAGGACTTCTGAAAGGGATACTTCCTTAGAGTTCTACT